CTAGCTCTAGTCTAGAAATTCATATGGGGCACATATGAGGAAAAGTTTATTAAATTCATATGCTAATTGTATCAATAAGAGTGGGTTGGCTGGATAAGTCGAACCTCCCTACATGTCGAATTTCAAGGGAACAGAAAAAAATTTGACTTACTGAAGTTTCAAGTTGCTGGGGAAACAAGCATTTTTGTCGTGGGAAGCATAGAAGAATTGCAGGAAATTGTTAACGGTAAAATTTTCTGGACCTTAAATTGCTTTTTAAAAGAGTTGACAGGATGCTGAACTTTTGAGTCAGGGGTTCATTTGCCCAAATTCTTCTTTCACTTCCTCTTGAAACTCGTTGAGTCAATTTTGTATTGCTCTTCTCTATCTTGTGTCAAGAAAAAAAAAGGCTTTAGAAAATTCAAGTTTGGGAGGTTTAATAGGAAAAGTCTTCGAGTCAGAGAGGTTTTTAATGCATGGTTTCTAATGGATTTCAGTTCGGGAATTGAAAATTTTCAATTTGTGGAGGGTTTGAGTTATCAAGTTTCAACTATGAGGGTATGATGGCAGTATACCAAAACGAGTCCTTCCGTGAATCGGCGGTGGAACAAATTTAACACTGGTGCTCTCTTTGACAGATTAAGTTTTAAAGATAGAGGCAGAACCGTGCACATTGCTGTTTTCATCAGAGCAGCTGACCAAATTTGCAATTAATACAATGCTAATAAATCAAATGCACCACCAAGTACTGTATAAAAGCCTTCGGATGTAAGATACGTACTGGTATTCTTCATCCAGATTTATGTCGGAAAAGCGGGTCTTATATTCCAGAAAATACTGTACAGTACTGTACTTCATGTTATGGTACAATGCAAGAAATCGGATGAGGGATCCTTTTGTGAGTACACTGGGCGGGTTTTTGGAAGAGTGGGCATTTGTGAGCTTCGTCTCATATATATGCTAAATGTACACATATTCTCACTGAGGAGCAGAAGCGTATCAGCAAAAACCGATGAGCTGGTTTCGGGGCATACGTTTTGCCAGCGCGCGGCTTTGAACTTCCGTGTAAACCGTACAATGCGTTCCTTTCATCGACTGGGGAAATTCCGTTCGCATTTCACTTCAGAGAGGAACTTCCCGTATAGTTGAATATCCGGCGAGAGCGTAGGAAGGAATGATGTCTTAATTCGAATGTGGAGAATGAAACTCCTGGCGCAGAAGTTGCTGGATGCTCCACAACAGTGCACAGCGGATATGAATTTAAATTTCAATCCCTGCAACTTTTTTAAACAGCTTTTCTCGTGTTTTTTTTTTTTTACGGCATTATGTTCATTATTTACGCGCATGGAAATTGAGTAACTGTGCACACAAGACTTTCCTTCAAATCGCGAGAACGAAGTAAAAAAAAATTTTTAAGAGTTGGTGGTGCGGCAATTTTTGTTGAAAATACGGCACCCGAAATTCGATTTACATTATCCTCATAATGATTATTTATTGTCAGTTATGCAGAGAGGAGCACCATAAATTTCTCCAGCAGTGAAATAATGTTTCCAATCTGATGGAGATTCAAACTACGGCATCAGGATCAAAGCTTGAAAAAGGACTTCCTTGCGGATCTTCGAGTTGTACGCTTCCAGATTAAATACGTCGTCCAAATAAGCAGGCTCGAAAAATTTACTATTCAATCACTGTACTGTACTGCCAAACCGGGTGGGTCGTGAAATTAAAAATCCCAGAATTTCTGAAACGCTAACGTATTTGCTTCGAACCTTCATCAGCAATTCGCACTTCGGTTGGCCTATAGGGGCTTGCAATGAGTACTAATGGAAGAAAATGCAGTTTATCGGTTCCCCGAAGGCTTTCCTGGATCCGGCCGCGAAACGATGTTTTCAATCTGACCGAGGATCCCATCAATCGCCTGCACTGTGATGAATCGAACGGAAGGATTGATGATTTAGCCTAAGCCTTTGGATCGTTTCACGCGCCCTCGACCCTCAAACGGAAGGTACGTGAGACCCGTTCATCAATTTTAGCCTCCTGATTTTTTTTTCTTTACTTTTTTTTTAGTACTGTAGAGTGACATCGATCTACAGTGTTATGCTAAGAGGGGCCGAGGTTTGAGATTCCCGGTTTTATGCAGGCATATATTAATGAAATACACGTGGAGCCTCGCAATCCGATTCTGAATTCGTCGAGAAATAAGAATTCCGGTGCAATTAAGAGTTTGTGCTTGGGATCATTTTTACCAATGTAAGTTGTATTGACATCGTGTTTCCGCAAAAATAAAAGAGACGTCATTTTGTTCGTATCCGCAAAATTGGGCTGGGAATAATTGTAAGGATTCACATATTCAAACTCAATTTCATGAAAATAAAAAGGTCCTAATAAGAGTGGACGACGACGTGGAGAATGCTTTACAGGTGGTCAGTAAACTGCTGTGTTTTGTCGAATATTGTAGGCCAATCAATGACTAGACAATTCAAGGATGAGTGGATTAAGACAATTTATGCATTCAATTCAATTTCACAGCAAGTCTCCCTTATATATTATTCAGAAGGGAAAAATATATTTCCTCAGCATCATATTTTACTGAAGACGATGCCATCTTCAAGATCTGGAAAAGTAACTGTATTTTGGACGAACTTATTACAAAGAGGCAAGGGATAATAAAAATAATTATACAGATTTTACTTTTCAGTAAAAAGATACATTACAGCAGTACCTTTCGGTTGTTGAGCGTGAATACCAGATTTTCTTCCCAATTCGGTGACTCATTCAGGCATTTCACCCTTTTTCATCTTGTGTGCACGATGAAATACCAAATTATAGGCATTAATTTTTGTGTAAATCATCATCGTCTTACATTTTTTATCAACTGGAAAAATTGTACAGTTTATTATGGTATGTGGTTTATAGGCGGTCAAGTTTAGGCGGCATTATACTCCTCCTTCGACAAATTTTATTTCGGTGAACTGTTTCTCCTCGCCGGCTTTTGTTTTTCCTCACCGGTTTTAGTGCGTCGAAGAAATTATATTATTCGCAATTTTTTTTTTAATATTCGCTGATAGGTAGCTTTAATGTTTCTTTTGGAGGTACTGCATTCATCATTTGTCGATTTCAAGTCAAACCAGCACTGGACAATTTATTTTCCAAGAAGAGTGTTATTCTCGACTCGTATATGCGAGCTAACATAAAATGTTGTGTATATACGATTTTCGATTTATCTACATATAGGCGGGAATAATTACCGCTACAAATTTCAGCTAAGCCTGAGATAAATGAGGAAATATCGAGTTGGATTCATTCAAAAAATTCGGTTTTTGGTTCCACACGTCATCAGATGACGTACGGATAAGCACACACATGTACCAAGACTTATCAAAACGATGGAGGACAACGTTCCTCCTCCTACGCGTACCTCGACATTGAAAGATTATGACGGATTGTATGGTAGCTTACACAGCACGGCTTGAGTGAGAATATTCAGCTAAAGCTATTGAAGTGATTTCCCGTTGAAGGCTAACAACCCACGGCCATACGACCATATCCTGATCATGGGGACCCAATTTCCTTGCCGCAGACGATAGCAACGAACACAGTTTAATTCACTGCTGTCCGAGGTTTCTTGGCGCAGCTGAAAGCGTTTTAAAGGGGCTCTTTCCTATTTGTTGATCTTGAGCAGAACTTTTTTTTTCGAAAACGTTACTGTGTATACTGAAAGTAATGAGGAAAACATTAGTGTGCCCAACTAACCCTAGTAATTAAGTAGTAACTATTTCTCGCTTGTTATAGAAAGTAATGTTCCATTTCTAACAAAAAAATATCTGAAGCCCTGCTATGTTTATCGTAATTCGTAAATTCGTGTTATTGTACTCTTCATTTTCGCACCACGCATATTCAACTCGCAACTTTTTCGATAAACGCGCTTATTACATCACGAATACAAGCCCTGGTCGGATTGTCCTCAATTTTCCTTTATGAAAACCATGTTGCGCGTCAATAACACGTACAGGAAAATTTCGTTGGACAATATAACGATAATACAATGATTTTTTTTTCAATTGAATAGGTCTACCTTATGTACACTTTGGGTATACAGTACTGCAATGAGCCAGGATTTTTTGGCCTCAGTAGATTTTTAACGTATTTTTTATGTACTGCACTTGCATCAGGAAAACATTTTAAAAGTGCTGTACATTGCTTCTGAAACAGACGGGCATACTAATAATACAGCTGACATGTAGAGAAGGATTTAACGAAAGAGAGTACCGTATACATATAAGAGTGCCAGTATATGAGACAGACATTTAAAAATATCAGTGCAAACATGAATTTCTGAAACCTGTGCTGAAACCTTCTGTAATTCGAAATTATCACTTCACCCCATTTGGGATGCAACGTGATTGAAAACTCGCTTCATATAAATCCGACCCATGTTGATGAAGTAAGCACCATACCAATATAGTACTTTTTTATTTATACCCCTTTTTATGTCTGACATTTTTTAAAGAGGCGTCAGGTTGATAAACGCATGACAGTTTTGAGGATTTATTGAATTACAGAACTAATACAAAAGTAAAAAGAATACAGTACAGCCCTGTGTGTAAATACTGTAAGAGTGTATGTGATGTTGCGATATAATGCTGTTATGTATTACAGTAGCTATTTCCCCAGTTTATAAAATATGATGCATTTTTTATTCATTTTCGATTCTATTTCCGGGGGAATGAGTGCTATTAGGACACGCTGAAGAATAACTTCTATTATTAAACGGCACGCGTATTTTAATGAGCCGTGGGACGCGCGTCGTATCAAACGGCACTACAGTACAGTACAGCTGCGCTTGTAAGAGTGAATGGGAGAAGTTATTTTTGTGCGCCGTCGTAGCACCACGCTCTGTGTAAACATTAAAAACTCTGTGCACAGCAGCAAGAACACGGCGACTTGCTGAAACAGTTGCCAAGAAAGCAGGCTCGATGCTTGTCAGTTGCGTGATTGACGACAACCCGTGCCTTTGTAAACTGAGATTTAGTTGATGATATGTCTGTCGACGGGCTGAATTTCTGGCCTTGTTAATCCACGTCAATGCTTCGGTTAATTGATACACCTTGTCTAACGACGCACATCATGACCATTTCCAGTGTTGTGACCTTCACTAACCTTGAAGTTTAGTCGGGCCAGATTGTAAGATAAATCGGATGTGCGAGAGCGGTGAATGACTGAGTCAGCTGCTTTACTTGATTTTCTGTAATTTCGGTGACGCTGACAATGTCTATTTGTGCGAAGAGATGGAAGACAAAGCGATTTTTCTGTGGATTATGGATTGTTCATTTATTCGTTACTAGATAATTAATTGTCCGAACTCATGGCCTGGCGGTTTAAAGCATCGAAGTACAAGAACGCTTTCTTGGCTCCGGCAAAGAAGAATGATTGGATTCATGATATTGATGTTGGTGAAATTCGGACAGCATTGAATCCATCCATCGCAGCCTCGAGCGCATATGTAGTATTTTCTCAGGAAGGAAAAGGTTGGTTGTACTATGTTTCGATTGGAATGATTTCCGTATTTACAATATTATTGATTTTCAGGAAGTGGCTGCGTTGGGATTGTTGATGCCGGTGCTTTTGTTGATTGTGACCCTCCTCCATCCGATCGTCCAACATTGCCGGGTGCTGTTGAAATCTTCAATCCCCACTTACATCAGCAAGTTACTTGCCTGGACTTCTCTCCATTTGACGATGGACTCCTCGCAACGGGATCGGAAGATTCCATGGTGAAGCTGTGGCATTTGAAGGACGATCGCGTTACTCCGGAATGTCTTTTCATACCTGTTCCGGAGACTAAAGTGGAAGCTGTGAAATTCAACTCTGCTTGTGATTTCCTTTTAACTGCGTCTGCGGGTGATTCCATCCAGATAATCGACTTGGTCCATCAGAAGCAGATTCAAGGTAAGTTAAGTGGTTTTTTTTGTGTAAAAATGCTGTATTGGATGCAACCTATATTTTTCTTAGACATCAACGGGGAATTCTGTGGCCCAGTTAATTCTATGGATTGGAATGTTACGGGGTCGGAATTAGCCCTGATCGATCAGCAATGCCGTATCATTGTTACTGATCCTCGGAGAAAAGCTAAAGGATCAACGCATATCATTGATACTTCACTCGTTCCTAATAAAGAAGCGCATATCGTTTGGCTGGCAGATGCAAAACTTCTCGTGACCGGTTTTGACAAAGTTCGTTATAATGTTAAATTATGTAAGTGTGTTTTCCAAATGGGTGCATTTTCTATCGCAGAGCCGCCAACGTGTAGCAAGTGTTCATGACCTCAAGAATCCTTCTTCAGCAGTGGGTTCGACTGATTTCGGAACAGGCATTGGGCAAGTTAAAAACCTTCGCTTTAGTTGTGGTCCGATGACGATAACCATTCCTTCTTAGGTCTTTGGTTCCCTTGTATGATTCCGACACAGAGATGCTCTTCCTTTCTGCCCGTGGAGAAACTGGTATATCCTTCGCGGAAATTGCTTCCAACGTACCTACAGTGAGATTGAAAGCCATGTCCGATTTTGGGACGAAAGCGGCTTGTCTCGCCCCGAAACGATCTCTTAGTGTGATGACGGGCGAGGTCAACCGTTTATATCAGTTGTCCTCAAAGGCGTTGATACCTCTGAATTTCATCGTGCCTCGCAAGGTAAGTTTATATTCACGATTCAGGAGGTCATGTGTTGATTCGTATCTTTCGTCGATAAAGTCGTACCGAGACTTCCATGCGGATCTGTTCCCACCAACAAGAGCTGTTGATTCTGCCCTAGTTCCTGACTTATGGCTGCAGGGTAAAAACATTCCAACTTTGAAGATTTCACTGGATCCAGCGCAAGTGAAACCGGAAGAAATTAAGGTCCCTCAAGGAAATTTCATATTTTCTGTTCTATTGTACTACTGTTCATTCTTAATAATTCACAGTACATCAAATTGCCTTTGAACCAAAGAAAAGCCGAAGCTGAAGATAAAACGAACATCTTTTTGAAATCCGAATCTGAAGAACTCCTCAAGGATAAAATCAAGACAAGTCCAGCGGGAAAGAAAAATTCATCGAACGAATCCGAAGTGCCTGTGCAAGTGCGCACGCATGCACTTACGCGTAATGACGAGGTGCGGAGAAGTGCCAGAGAGATCCGTGATCAGTTCGAGACTCGCACCGGGGTTCAGCCTGAATCGAACCCGTCAACTGTGCCGGGCAAGTTGCCTTCGAGTGTGTTCGGTACGAGGCCTGTTAGCATGGAGGAACCGCGGTTGAAAGACTCGGTAAGGAATGGTGCCGAAACGAAGCCGATTTTCTCGAAAAGTGTGTCAGTGCGTGAAGCAGGGCATTCTGAAGAAAGCGTTCAAGATGCGCTGGACAAACCTGGCGAATTTCAACGCCAAGTTTCAAACAGGAAAAGTAAAACATTCGGTGAGTAGTCGACCATTCCCTGGACGAATAGAAATTTCGAATCGACAGTTTCTCCATTCTCCCAATTTAGATATCTTCAAATTCTTTGAATGTGTGACAAAGGTTTGAAGCTGCCATGTTTTTTTTTTTTTTGCTATTTTTTTCATCATAAGGAATCCAATCCTCTTTTACAGGTCGTGTCGCAAAATTCCGTCACATGAAAGGAACCGTTCCGCCGAGAGCTCAACTGTACGATAACTTGCGTGACTTAAACCCATCGCTTCCCACTGAATGTGATGGAATTCGAGGTAAAATTTTATAAACGTAGATTGAATTGTTGAAGTCGTCATCGGTATTCTTCTCATTTTTTCTCCTATTAGGGAATGAAGAGCGGTTTGCAGTGACCTTACGAGGCCCGAGTGGAAAAATTTTAGTATGGTCAGCAGCAAATACTGGAAGACTTCCGGACACCATCGCTCTGCTTTCCCTTATCAACTCTAATAGTATTGTAGACTTCGCGTGGGACCCGTTTGATGCGCGTCGTCTTGCCTGTGCTACTGATGATTGTACTATCAACATTTGGGACGTGGTCGCGGCGGAAAAGGAGGACAAGAGGGATCAGCCAATGGATCGTCTTCGCCGCCCTCATGGAGTTCCCGAGAAAATTACTCTTATCAAGTGGCATCCTACGGCCAAAAATATTCTCGGCGTGGCACACGCGAATGGAAGCATCGATTTATGGGAAGTTGCCACTCCGGCGAAGCTTGTGTTACAATTTCAAGTTGCTTCATCCGGTATTTGGAGCATGGAATGGAGCCCTGATGGCAGACATCTTGCCGTTTCCAGTCGGGATGGGAAAATACGGATAGTTGATGGAAGAAATGGGGATATTCTTGCGGAAGGAGAAGGTTTTAGCAAAGGACGAGGCGCTAGAGTTTTATGGGTGCTGGGTGGAGCATTTTTACTGCTTTCTGGATTCGAGTCCGGCTCTTCGCGAGTTGTCAAGGTATACATTTTCAGCTTTGTATAAAAGTCCATACATTTTTTGATAGGGTTTTAACATGAAAGTTGCTTTTTGTTTAAACCATAATTAACATCTGTACCGCCGCTGAAAATCGACAAAAATTGTATTATCGATTTAATACCATTATAAAGTAAATGGTAATGAAAACTTCCAAGCTATTTCGGGAAATTTTCCGTTTTACCACCTTGAAATCTTCGATTTTCAGATTTTTGACGTGAACAATTTGCAAAATGGTCCGCTGAAACAGCTCGAAATGGACGTTAGTCCATCACTCGTCATTCCGCTGTATGACGAAGACTCTTCAACAATTTTTCTGTATGCCAAAGGGGATACTACGATACACACTTATGAGGTGAGTGATTGGTGTAAATTTTCCCATCAGTCCAGAAATTTTGCTTTACATGTGCGATTTATAGGTGATCAACGAAGATCCCTATCTGTATCCCTTGTCACCGCATCGCTCATCGACACCTCATCATGGACTCACTCTCCTTCCAAAAAGGGTCGTTGATGTGAAAAAAGTAGAATTCGCACGAGCTTTGAGGTTAACGGACACAACCATCGAGCCAATATTCTTTTGCGTCCCTCGCGTCAAAGTTCGTTTTCTTCTCTTTTTTTTTTTGATTTCCGTGATATAAAGTCTTAAATTCCAGAGTGAATATTTCCAAGATGATTTGTTCCCACCGACTCGACAACTTTGGCTGCCGGCTGTGAATGCGAGTGATTGGGTTGACGGGAAGGACGGCGAGCAACCGGTTGTTAGTTTGAAACCGGAGGGAATGTTTTCCTGTGAGTCGCCTTTTGTTCGGGAGAAAATATTTGCTTCGGCTAATGCGAATATTTGTTTGTTCAGTGAATGCCAACGCCGCTGGAGACCATGTTCGCAATCAACCTGCGCGAAGTGTGTCTAAGGAATCTGAGTTGAATCCGACCGACAAAGAAAAACAGAAAAACGTAAGTTGATAACGCCTGGATTTCTTCTCCTGAACTCGTTGAATGAGATGCCCTATTTTAGGTTGAGAAATCCCTCATCAGTACGGTCGCGGTGAACATGAGGCTCGAGCAGGACGAAATGGAAGGTGTTGACCCGAAGGAATGGGTAAGAACATAGTCATCGGAGAAACCCGAGCCGTGCATGAATCTCTTTACTTTTTCCAGGAATAACGTGATAAAGCTCAACGTTTCCGTGTTTGGCGTTGAATAGCGGCCGGGGAAGACTATTTTGCTTACGTTTTTTCTAATATTCGCGGTACACCAAAATATCGTTTATAATGCCTCTAGCTAAAGTAAGGGTTTCAAAACCGAAAAACAGCCTTAACTAACGGTAAGGAACATTTAAGTGAGGATGTACGAAATATACAAGCACTAGTTTTCGACGCTCGATCAGAGTAAGGATAAATACAGGATAATATGTAGTTTCGCTGCTTACAAATTGTGTTCTGTTTTCGAACTGCTTTCGACGTTTTTTTTTCTGCAAGCGTTTTTGCTTCTTGTGAACGTCACGCGTCTAAGTGTAGTTAATAAAACCGGAAATTTGTTGTGATTAACGAAGTAATTTGTTGTATTATTTATATGCTGTCGCGTGTGAGGTTGAAGAAAGGCTTACTGTATGCGCATAATGGTCGTTTCTTTACTCAATCCTGCGTGAACTCTGCACAAGTTGTCAGTACATTCACTATTTCGGAATATTTCCGTGTTCGTATCAGCGCTGTTTCTTCTTTTCTCTCGCCTGCTGAACCTTTTTCACAGCTTGTGGGAATGTGCCACTTGCGTAATGCATCTGGAAGAACACGTTGAGCGCCAGGAAAAAT